TCTAATGATAAAAGAGAAACTGAATATTTGAAGTCCGAACTCAGCTCTAGGTTCAAGTTGAAAGATTTAGGTGAGGTTAAGCAGTGTCTAGGAATGAGCATAGCCAGGGATAAGGAAAGAGAAAGTATAACTTTGAGTCAGAAACATTTCGTTGAACAACTGCTAGCAAAGTTCAATATGGTAGACTGCAAATCAGTCAGTACACCTATGGAACAAAATGTAATTTTTGAATCTAATGATACAGCAAATAACTTTCCTTATCAACAGCTAATTGGAAGCCTAATGTATTTAGCTGTGTTAACCAGACCAGATATAGCTCACAGTGTAAGTTATCTGAGCCAGTTTAATAACTGCTACAATGAAAGTCACTGGAAAAGTGCAAAGAGAATTTTGAGATACTTACAGGGTACAAAAGATGTTGGACTAGAATTTAAGAAAAATTATTGTAACTTGCAAGGATTTGTTGATGCTGATTGGGCAGGTAATTTAGTTGATAGGAAATCTTATACTGGTTTTGTTTTTAAACTTTCTAATGCTGCAATTTCATGGGAAAGCAAAAAACAAAATACTGTAGCATTATCTAGTACAGAAGCTGAATACATGGCATTGTCAGAAGCTGCTAAGGAAGCTATATATTTGAGAAATTTAATTAATGAATTAACAGGTCAGTTGTATTGTATAACTTTATTCAATGATAGCCAGAGTGCTCAAAAATTATCAGTAAATCCTGTACTTCACAAAAGATCAAAACATATTGATGTGAGGCATCATTTTATTAGGGAAACTGTAAATGATGGTTTAATCAAGCTGAGTTATTTACCAACAGCAGAAATGCCAGCTGATATTTTGACTAAAAGTTTAGGCTCTGTTAAGCACATGAAATTTGTTAAAGATTTGGGTATTGTTTAATTTTTTTTTGGTTCATGTAATTGTAATGTAAACTAGAATGATTGATATAGTGGGGGTGTTGAAATATATCAACCATTCTGTACTATTTCCGTGGCTATACTTATAGTTCTACTTTGGCAACAGCGGCAACAGCGCATATGATATCCTGTACAAACTTTGCTACATTTTCGCGCCAATAAAGTCAGTCTGTGCTGAACACTCAGATAACGTGTTTCATTTATCAGTTTTCAACTGTGAGAACACGGAAAATCAATGCACTCTATTCGAATTTCCATCGGATAACATAATTCTACAAAAAGGGAAACAAAATATGATGCTGCCGGCATGGAATATAGTTTCAGGCCACAAAATTTGCGAGGTATTTAAATTTCTTGGTAGGAAGTTGAAGAATCGGATCGTATTGAGAGAAAGAGCCGAACCCACAATTTATAAATTGAGCGGGTATCGAAAAGAACCTCATTCCAATTTAGACTCTGGTTATTGCTTATGATGGAATGATGGAGCAGATATCACAATAGCCACCATGGAGATCATGGTCGATAATCTGATGATGAAATAGCAGAAACTTCCTAAATTGACTGACTCAAACTGATTTCACATCCCTGTTCAACCAAAAATTCTCCAGATCATCTTCGTATACCAACTCTTATAATAATTTTGTGAAAACATATAGTGCCTTTGTGGAACTCAGATGTACCAGATATTGATATATCTATATCAAAGAGTTGAATATATTGTTCGTGTATCACTTCTTCAAAGTTGAAATTCCAAGTCTGAATGTGCATGTTCATGCGTAGTTGAGAAGTGCTAGACGACTACATAGCTCCTAGTGGATTTTGAACCACTTCTTGGATACCAAGATACAAGCAAGATATTATCAGAGCACAGAACAAGAACGCTCAACAAGTGCACCATTTATGTTAGGTATTGAAAATGATCTTCCGATGGCCGGGTTCAACCAACAATCCCCTTCAGCAATGTGAACGGCGATCTATAGTGAGTCGAGCGCTGAAGTCCATTTATACCATACCTACTACCGTATGTCTTGGAGAAACTATATTATTCATCCTAACTTAAATCAGCTGTTATTGTTGCCATATCATTTGTTTATTTTTTAATTACTTATTACTTACCACTCTTGTACTAATAAAAGTATGTTTCTTGAAATTTATCAGTTTTCACCCCATTATGAACTTTTGTGATAAACAAGTATTCAACTGAACGAATATATATACATACATATAAAAGGCTAATTCCATAGGAATACTATATGTATTTCGTTGATGTATATTATGGACCTACTAACTTGATATCGATCTCCATTGAGGTCCTTCAGCCTTATATCATTCAATATTCCGAGAAAAAATAATTCTCTAATCAATTTATCGTACCCTTCCACCCACTCGAGGAGACGCTATGCCCTCTCATACAAAAATCAAAGACAGAGAAAGATATATGGATGTACTCTTCCGAGGACTTGTGGGGGATGGAGGATGCGAGGATCCTTTATCTAAGCGAAAAACATATTTTTGTCCTTGTCTCGCAAAACATATGATTTGCTTCAAAATCGTTCGTGGTTATATGTTTGATTGTCACTGCTTGTCTAGTGTCCGTACTCTAATATACAAAAAACGTCGAAACAGCAGTGTCAAGAACATTTAGGTACTCTAGTATTCACTACTGAAAACTGAACATTAAAATGGTAGATTCAAGATCAATTATTAGTGGAAACATCCTGTAACTCATTTGTAGACTAAAGTCACTATTTCGCATATGCCATCATCATTATGACACTGAAAAGTGTCAAGCTATAAGCAGCACAACTTTCAAAGAGAAATGTTTTGCATTTACATGTTGAGAACGGGAACAGATTCGGTCCCAAAACGGTCAAAAATAAGTATAAATTCGATATTTTTTCAATATATCTATATATTTCTTTCCTTCAAACAATTTTTCTCACAGACAAGCTACTGGACTTTTCTTTTAGACTCCCTGATAAAAAAAATTTTTAAACGCAGTGACATTTATGTATTGAAATAATACAAATATTTGTATTTTATAGAAACGAGGAGAGAAAATTCCAAAAAATCAAGTGAAATGAATTTACTACCTCCTCGATTAACCTACAGACAGCACCGTACTTCTTTCATATCGCTCGACTTACTGACTACTTAAAATAACTTTCTAGATACTTTCAATGGCGGGTATCCACCTAGGCATGCCTAGGTCGACTATTGGCTAGAGGACTAAAAATATTTCAGGTAGATTGTAAATGCTTTTGGGTGTATGATAAATTGACATTCATCATACAGGGCGTGGAAAGAAATTCTGAATTGAGACTCTATCACGAATCTGCGATTAGAGGTCTATAAAAATCAAAAGTTTCCATCGTTCAAGTTTGAACCCCCTGATTGGGTATGAAAGTGTTGAAAAGGAATATTTCTCAGATAAATTATGAACATACAAAAATGGATATATATATTTATATAAAGCAATACATTGAGAATTCGCATTCTCTATGTGATGAGAATATTTACTCTTTCTCAGTTGATTCAATAGAAAACAACTACTTTCCTGGCTATATGCCACGACGAACATTGAATTATATCTATTGAACACACACGATAAGAGTTTGAGGATAAAATATAAAAACTTCTGAAATTGAGAATTTGCATTCTCCTTCAGACAAAAATATGTATATGCACACATCATTCTGAATATTCAACAGAAAACAACTACTTTCCTGGCTATTTGCCTCGTCGAACATTGAATTATATCTGATGAACATTCAAAAGGAGAACATGAAAAATAAAGAATAAAATCCTCCGAAATTGAGAATTGACATTCTTCTTCAAATCGGATGAATAATATGATGTATAATGATATAGAGATATAACTTACCAATATATTCAGCATTGAAATGAAAATTGGAATGTATAGGAGAAGTTTTCAAGCTCATCAAGATCAGAGTTTATGCCAGTATACTTCTCCTATACATTCCAATTTTCATTTCAATGCTGAATATATTGGTAAGTCATATTTCTATATCATTATTCATCATATTATTCATCCGATTTGAAGATGAATGTCAATTCTCAATTTCGGAGGATTTTATTCTTTATTTTTCATGTTCTCCTTTTGAATGTTCATCAGATATAATTCAATGTTCGACGTGGCAAATAGCCAGGAAAGTAGTTGTTTTCTGTTGAATATTCAGAATGATGTCTGCATGAACATATTTTGTCTGAAGGAGAATGCAAATTCTCAATTTCAGAAGTTTTTATATTTTATCCTCAAACTCTTATCGTGTGTGTTCAATAGATATAATTCAATGTTCGTCGTGGCATATAGCCAGGAAAGTAGTTGTTTTCTATTGAATCAACTGAGAAAGAGTAAATATTCTCATCACATAGAGAATGCGAATTCTCAATGTATTGCTTTATATAAATATATATCCATTTTTGTATGTTCATAATTTATCTGAGAATAGATTGTAAATGATTGATAATAACAGCACACCAACTTTCAAGTTTTCTATCCAACTGCAAGTTGGAAAACTTCAATGTCACACTTTTTTGGGACACCCTTCATATTATGTAGGGTCCCTTGATGGAAATTGACGTTAAAGTCATCTTAACAGGGTACGGACAGATCATAGCTGCATTCTTTTTTAATGATCTAGATTCTAGAGACTTTAGTTTTGTCTACTGGCATCCCTGACATTGCTGTCACGTCACATCCATAGGCGCTACAGAAAATCATTCAAAATTTTAATAATAGGTATGTACAGGGTATTTACTTGTTGAGGAAGATCATATGGCGAACGAGTTTTGTAATTATGATTCGATTATATTCAAAATTTGAAGGTATCTGGGGTTTTCCGGGGTTGGAGATAATGATTGTTTCGTCAAACATGTGTTTGTGGCCATCGGAAATACTCGGTATTTCGTTCAAAAATTAGAACTTACATTGTGTTTTTTTGTATAGGTCGACGAAAAACAATATTAAAAAATCTGTAGCAGATTTTTAATTCGCCTATTGTAATACGGGAGTAGAACAATAACTATTAATGATGAATTACATTTTTTCAGGTCTAATTCCAGTATATTGGGACAGAAGAAGAAAAATCAGCGAAAAGCGAAAAACAAAAAGAGGTGCATGGAAAGACGCCACAGCGAGAGCGAAACTTCGGGCGATGAGAAGAAGGAGAATAGCAAGAAAGGATGCAACGACTTGAATTTAGAAGAGGGGATATCGGAAATGAAGAAAGAAGAGCCCCATGACATTTTCCATCTAGAAGTCGATAATTGAAAGTGCATTTTTGAGATTAGGTGTGCAAGAGCACTAGTACTATTTGCTTTGTGAGTTGTATAAGTATTTGTAGTCTTTATTGGATGAATATATTGTTTTTCTCTAATTTCTCTGATCATAAGGTCAACGACATCAGAGTAGCAATATCACTCGAAATATCGAGAAGGTGATGCTAAAGTATTTTTTTATTCTGAAACGCAATGAATAATCGATCTCATATCTTTATACAGGGTGCAATAAGGGCGTCGCCAGCCGGAAAGCTAGGAGGGGGGGGCACCATGAAAAACTAAAGAGCAAAATCAAAGAAGAAGAGAAAAAATTAAAAACGAAAAAAATCTATATACAGGGTGTTTCAAAAAAATTTGACCCCCTTATTACTAGGGTAGGTAGAACACTGCGAAATAAGTTGGGTTTACTCATTAAAAAAATTCGTAACGGCATCCGTTATCAAGATGTTGACAAATGATTTTTTACACATTTTTCAAGATTATGTCGAAACTACTGCGGCAACATTGTAATGCAATTTTTTATGGATGTTTCTTGGAATCTGACAGATCGCATTCATTTGTTTTTATATCTGACTCTTATAGAGGGCGCTAGTTACACGGTTCGTACCGATTATTTGGAACATAACTTTTTTGAGGTTGATGGATTCTTCAATCCAAATTTGATTTGAACTTGAACCCAGCCGACCATGAGATGTATAAGTGATATATACGCCACATCACTTTGTGACATGCGATACCGCATTTGAAGTCACAAACATGTTACCGATACAACGTGGCGATGTGAAAATGTCCGACTCAAGCAACATCACTGTGACGTCGTTCAGACATGAAATGCGACATCACATGAAAAATCACTACCAACTGCTGATGAGACTTTCTGGGGGAAGCTGGGACCAAAATAATATTATTTTTTCTCTTGGGAGCGCACGAAGAGGAATTTCTACCTAGGAAGGATAGGGAGAGAAGGTACGTAGGTATTGAAATTTTATTGAACTATTGGATCTTATAGTTCTTGCATAGAAATTCTTGTTCTTGGAAAAAATTCTTTTGGAAAAGAATTTCAGAGCTTTGCCATTCTATATAGACAAATGAGGTTTGGTCAAGAATCGGTGAGTGTGGCATCACTCATTAGGCGAATAGCTCGTCTCTGGATGGAATCTGAGAGTATCAGTGTGTGCTTAATTGAGTATACTAAACCCCAGAAGTGGTGAGTATGTATTATAAATCGGGCCGTATCTGTACTTTGTAAATCATGAGATGCTGTTGCGGTGTGAGGATAGCTTATTTTCGCACGGAATGAAAATTCGAGTTTATGTGACCCAACTATTGCGATGGATCTAACATGATTTTTCCATGAGAGAGTATTGCTAGTGGAAATATCGAGCATAGATATTGTCGACTTCGTAGGAATGGTGGTATATCAGACATTGTTATGGAATGTCAGGTAGTTCCGCCTTTCTAGAGCAAGTACATTTTTGTGACTTGCCCGCGTCGTGAGGTCCTAATTATTGGGAAGGAATAGGAATTCTTGAAAATAACGCAGTATAGGGAGAACTATCATCTGCAAAGATGTGGATAGGGCAAGTGCTTACTCTCAACAGATCAATATGATATGGAGGAGGAACAATGTTTGTGCCTGAATTGATCCTTGTGAAATTCTGAAATTGTTGGCTGTTGTATCAGAGGATACTCCATTCACCACAATGCCCATGGAGCCACATCAGATCTGTCTGGAAGATAACTCGATAAAAAGATGGCATAGCTGAGGTGGTAAGCATCAGTATGATGGTATAGTTTGTGGAGAAACCTTGGTGCCAATAGCCAAACATTCGAATGGTTTCAATAGATCTAGCGCCACAGAGATAGATCGAGATTTCTCATTAATATCATCATAGATCTACAGCACGGCAGGCCACATTTTTTCAATTTTCAAGGTCAAGTCACTTGAATTAAAAGTTGAAAATGGGAATATAAGAATATTTGTCTTGAGTATGAAACTGTAGTGGATCACCAAAGTGCAACATTGTTTTTTTTGTACATGAAAAATTATATCCGCATAAAACGGACTCAGATCTTATGGTATAAAACTCCATAACTCAATCAATGGAATTGAGGAAACCTAGTTTCATCGGAAGATATGATTTTCTCCATTGAATCCCATAATAATTTTTATATCATTGAGTTTTTGAAAATTCTCACATTATGAAGAACCCTCACAACATTCTATAGTATTTTTTTCATCGCTTTGTGCAAACGAAGAACATCGTGCGTACCTAGGGAGGATAGGGACAGGAGGTAGGTATTGGATTTTTCTGAACTTTTTGGGGATTATAAGTTTTTGGAAATTCTGCCTCAGGCAATGATTTTCAGAGCTTTCTCGTTCTATAGAGAAACGAGTTTCAAGATGAAGGTATTATCGAGGGAACTGTAAAGTGACTAGGAAGAGATTATTGGAGATAGCCCTCACCAAGAGTGTATACGGTACACGTATTTCGTTCTTTCGGTCCTCATCAGAACGGTGAAAGGAAGTGCAAAGGATAGGCAGCACTTATAGTAGACAACGAAACAACAAATAAACGGAGTCAACAAACAGAAGCCAGCCGCACATTTGTTGTTTTGGTAAGCCGAACTTGAAGTCTCAGGGAAACAGCTAACGCATCACCACGGAGGCAGCTATACAGGGTGTTCATTTCAGGACTTCCCACCCTAATTTTCTCGAAATGTGTGTATGTTATTGAAAAATCCCGAGACACGTCAACTACATTTTCGAGGGGGACATGGTTCTAAAATATTTTCAGCCCCGCGGCGTTGCCGCTTCTAACGAAAAGAAGCAACAACTTTGTTATTTCAAATGCAACACCCTGTATTTTATTGCATTTTTAGATTCTCCCTGAAAAGCTGATTTCATCAATGTATCACACTTGGGGTCTAGCAGGAATGATTACAGAGATATAGGGTGTTCAAAATCGAGATTTTACAACTTTAGGATTTTTTTGAGTCGAAACTATTCATTATTGGTCAAAACGGCTTTCATGTCCCTATCTCAACTTTCGATTTACTATCTACTGACATTTATTTGAAACAAATACAGGGTGATCAAAAGTCTGAATCTTGAACCACCCTGTATTTGTTTCAAATAAATGTCAGTAGATAGTAAATCAAAAGTTGAGATAGGGACATAAAAGCCGTTTTGACCAATAATGAATAGTTTCGACTCAAAAAAATCCTAAAGTTGTAAAATCTCGATTTTGAACACCCTATATCTCTGTAATCATTCCTGCTAGACCCCAAGTGTGATGCATTGATGAAATCAGCTTTTCAGGGAGAATCTAAAAATGCAATAAAATACAGGGTGTTCCATTTGAAATAACAAAATTGTTGCTTCTTTTCGTTAGAAGCGGCAACGCCGCGGGGCTGAAAATATTTTAGAACCATGTCCCCCTCGAAAATGTAGTTGACGTGTCTCGGGATTTTTCAAAAACATACACACATTTCGAGAAAATTAGGGTGGGAAGTCCTGAAATGAACACCCTGTATATAGCTACCTGCGTGACATCCGGCTGACCAAAACCACAAATGTGCGGCTGGCTTCTGTTTGTTGACTTCGTTTATTTGTTGTTTCGTTCTCTACTATAAGTGCTGCCTATCTTTTGCACTTCCTTTCACAGTACTGATGAGGGCCGAAAGCCCGAAACACGTGTATACGGTTATCTCTTTGTGAGTGCTATGTCCAATAATATATATCTTCCGAGTCACGAAATGAGTTTTGATATAGTGCTGTTCGATAAATTTCGAGGTTGCCAACGAGACGATGTGCTGACTGCGCTTGTCGAGTTCGTCTGGCTGGTATTGCTAGTCGTGGAATGATAGCAGAGATTTCTGAAGAACATTTCTTGTGCAAGTATTCTGCCAAAGTGTTAGTGACTGTGGCATCACCCACTAGAGGCGAATGGCTCTTCTCTGGATAGAGCCTATAAGGTCATCAGAGTATATGTTTGGGTGCTGAACCCCATACGTGAGAACAGTATTCTATAACAGGTCGTATCTGTGCTTCGTATTTGTATCCAATTATTCGCTGAAAAAGATGCATCATTCTGAAGAGAAAATATATCTGCGACGAAGAAACCGTAGTACAAGAACTTTCGGAAATTATTCAAGAAAAGATAACAAGCTTCAAGATTATGGTCGAAAAGAACTGTGAAATATTTGCTCAAACGGAAACATAACGACACCGCTACAATTTTACACTGCTTCAATAAGTATATCTTGTAGAACGTTCATTTCATAATATTGCTCTGACATGTATTGGAAGATTGGGCTGGCCAAATGTGGAATCTGATGGAATTTAGTTGTGCATGGGTACCATGTGCAATTCGATTTTGAATTGTGCCTATAATTTGGTCTACGACGTTTATTACCATTTTTTTTTATTAACTCGCTATCGGGATACACGCAATACACCTACATAACTATAAAAAGTAAAGAGAGTAGCTATCAATAAAATAACTTAATTACCGGTTAACATTATTTGCGAAGCAATAACATTGTTAGTTGAGCTCTTGATACACCAATTATCTGCTCCATGTGCCCTATGTTTTTCGTTCCCAATCATGCAAGTATTATTTTGATAGCTATCAAAAGTTGCAAAGTATGAATTTCAACTTATAATACCACGAAAGCTTCAATTATTCGTCTAGCCTCTATTTTATATAGTTACCACAGAACTGAACAAATTTCTGGAAAACAATGAATACATTTTTTTCTCCTCCTTGGTGGAGGGAACATGAAATCATATACTGGAAATTTCTTGACGTTCATAGGTAAAATGACATTCATATTTAACTTCAGATTATGTCATAAATTTTATGTTCCTTTCAAGAATAGTATATTGTGTATCTAGTGCGTGAAGTCTTCACGGACGTGGTGCACAATATACTTTTTCTACGACCTTGTACTTAGAGATTGAATTAAAGGAAAATTTGACTAATTTTCTTTATTACAATAATAATTATTATGAACAGTTATATTGCAATTTTGTAAATTGTCGAAATGTACATTTACTTTGTCTTTCTCTACAAAATTAGTGCTACCTAGACCA